TGTGATACAGAATTTCAAAAAACGTATACAAAACTTATTTATAATAATGAAAAAACGTATGCAAATTTTTTATAGGAAATTCTATGAGAAATATCATTGCAATTACCACAAGGATAAGGACAACTACATGAATTATGACCAGAAGTTTCTTTACAATTTTGACATTGCTTTCGTGACCTTTTATTTTGGTTATTTTCCTTTAACATCTCAACAGCTAATTTAATTCTTACATATTCAGAAGGTTTATCTTTAGTATGATTATTAATAAGTAGATTATTGACTTGAATTAGAAGTTTGGATTCAGAATTCATGTTTTCTTTTTCAGTTAATATAGCATTAGATTAAGTTTGTTCAAGTTGTTCTTCAATAGTTTTAATATATTATTTTATCCATTGAGCTAGCCCTTGATCATCATTGTCAACTGCTAATTGCATTACATAATGAGCTAACCTAATCTTTCCATATTTTTTTCTTTTAGATAAATGTTCTGTTGAGTCAGATTGTATTTTAATTGTATTCTAAATTTGTTGAATATAACTAAAATTACATGTGCTTGAATTATGATTAATTTCAATATTATTGCTGATTTCATCTTTATACCATTTATTTGCAATTAAAGCCATATTAAATTTTGCATTGTTTGAGACTCTTAGAAGTCTAAAAGTGTCTAAAAACTAATCCATGAAAAATTATATATAAACATGTATAAAGATGAGATCTATCTTTTAGAATTGTAATAAAGTTGCATGATTTACTTTCTGAAAATGCATATTTAATTTGCCAAATTTCTAAAATAGAAGATTTAGCAATATCTTCTAAAAGGCTTTCTAAACTATATTTTTTTGTTTCAGTAAAAGGTTCTTTGTAACTATTTGAAATTTTAGAGTAATCTTCAATTAGTTATATATCATATATAAAACTATCTTTAATTTGTTGATACTGAATGGTATAAATTTCTGAAAACAAATATTTAGCCAATTCTGAAAATAATTTTATTGTCGAAATTGAAGAATTATTATATTGAATATCATTCCAAGTTGTAAATTCATCTTTAAAATTCTTCATTTTGATTCTTTTTTCTATATCATAAAATAATTCACATACAGTAGCGATCATAAGTATCCAACCCCTCATAATTCTTTTTTTTGCAAATTTTTTCTTTTTTCAGAACTGTACAACTTCAACTTTTGTCTTTTGTCTCACTATTTTTTAAATAGAAAATGTCTACAAGTACCATCACTGGACCCTCGGTAGAAGAAGTTGAAGGATATAATACGGACGAGCTTATCACTTATTTACGAGGAAAGACCCATTTGGAAATAAATGAGTCTGAATTTCAAAGTTTTCGTAACGAAGGGGTTAATGGTTACAACTTTCTTAGGTTAAATAATGAATTACTTAAAGATTGTGGCATTCGGGTAGGACAAAGGGCATCGCTTATTGAGTTAATTAGTAATTTGAACAACCAAAGTAAGTTCTATCATAAAATAGTTTAACGTTTGTGCGCCTCGCTTGTTATTCAACAGGCGTCTTTCAGGGCGTTATTTTCGTAGTATTTATTACTCGTTCCTATGATTGGTTGTCTGTTATAATCATATAATACCGAATACTTACTTATTCTTGTGCTTTTTTTCCTGCTTCTTATCGTCAAACTCGCCCAAAAAACACTTTCACGTTATTGTAGAACAGAGTAAGTACCACGACTTC